AGTGTCGGTTTTATCGTTGAAAACTGACATCTTCTGTTGTGATGACTGGATAACGAAGCTATCATGTTGATCAAGTTACCCAGCAGTAAACCAATATGACGTAAATCTTTATCTGAGTTATTTAAACTTGTTGAGAAATGTTTGCAGATAATCATTTCCTCGAGATCATGTTATAAAAGAAAGTAAGGAATGGAACAGAGTGTAATGTGTCTTCAACACAATAGTTATTTTGAGACTGACATATGGTTATTTGTTGTTTCTGTGGTTACCTGTGCAGTGCGAGGGAGTTAAATTTTGCTTGGACAACCGACAGTAAACTTAGATTTTTACACAGACACACTTTCTCTGTTAGCTTTGAAGCCACTCGATTATGTGATAATGTCATCTTTTATTTGTTCAGGAGCAACCTGGTGGGTTGGATGACCGAATGGTTAGCGCGCGCCCATTGCATCATAAGGTCTGTCATTGAGCCAACTGACATGGTTTCAATTCCCCGGTTTATTGAAATAAAATAGAACCACATGTTAATCCCGAAATGACCTAGTTTGTATGAGTAGATGTTAAACCCCATTTCTCTCTCTATCTCTTTCAGGAGCAACCCCAGCTAGAGCTCAAGAACTGTCAGACGCAACAACAGCAGCCATCTTTAAATATGCAGCTATGATGATGTTTGAAGAACATTATAATTTATTTGCGTTGTTAGTTGCTATAGAGCAGATGTTGATGATAAGAAAGGCGTCAAATAAAGAAACAAGTCTCTTTATAAACGGGTTTGAGAAAGAAGGACTGGATGAAGATAGCTTGATGGATAAAAAACCAGACTGGATGACAGAGAAGGTTTGATTTTTTTCATTTTTGAATTTAGTGCATCATCTTGATATTTTATTATTACATTTGAAAATTTTTTATTAGTTGATGTTATTTCATATTGTCATACCTAAATCTAACCACCAAACCATATTCTACTATACCATGTTCTGTGTATGATTAACTGTTTAATGTCAACGTTCCATTCATGGTGGGGTTGGATGGCCGCATTGGTTAGTGCAATCGCGTTGTATCATAAGGTCTGTCATTGAGTCAACTGGCATGGTTTCAATTCCCCGGTTGAACATGACAAGGAGTATTATTGCCTGTCCAACCTCGTGGGTTTTCTCTGGGTCCTCCCGTTTCCTCCCACTGCTAAAAACCTCTATACACAAGTGAATTATTGAATTAAAATTGAACCATATGTTAGTCCCGAAATGGCCTAGTTGTGTCATGTGGACTTAAACTCTCTCTCTCTCTCTCTCTCATTCATACCTGATATAAACTGCCTAATGGTTGTTATCAGGGGTTTTTTCAGATGTAAATATAGATTTATATAAAACAGTTTATATTCAGCTAATATAGTAGAATCATTACATCCAGCATGTCTTCAGGTTTTTTGTATTATATGTATATTTAACAGGTTTGGGTAGATTTGAATATATTAGAATCATTACATCAAGGTTTCCGTGGTTTATGTGATTCACTGAGAGATTTCTCTACAGAATGGTTTGAATACTTCCAGGTAATATTTGACATTATTTTATTAGTCACCTACTCTCTTTATATCTTATTCTTAATATCTGAAAAATATATGTAATCTAATTAAAATTTTAATTTCATTTCTTCACATATAGCTCTCATTTTCTACACAAATATTCAAATCTTAATAGTTTCTTAAGGCCATTCACACCGATTCTCTGTTTTTCATTGTTCGATTTGAATTTGATCAGTTTTTGTCTATAAAAAATACTTAGTACTAGTAGTGCTCACAAAATTGTTCAAATACAAATAGTTTCTCAATGCCATTGAAACTAATTGCTTCAATTAAAACTAATTGCTTCAATTAAAACTTATTGAATTTGATAAATTTTTGATCTTTAGAGAATATTTACAAATATTAATTCAATGAAATTGTCAATGGGGAAGGAATTTATCCTAATGACTGTCGTTTGTTTGTTCAGGGTTGGCGGCTACACTAGGGCTGTCTGAAGGTTGAAATTTGGTGTAATGGTGTAGCTGGGACCTAGGAGTAACATAGGCCTGCTGGTGATGGCCTACCACTCCCGGTTTCAGAGTTATGACCCCTGGGCTACATAATTTTCAAAAATGTGATAAATGGAAGAATGTAATGATTGTAATGATTGTGTTAATTTCAGTTACCAATAACTCTGGTGAACTCTGTGCCAGGAATAACATTACAGGAATTAACATTCTTCCAGAAATGTCTGCTGTGGAAATTTGCTCAGCCTCAAAGAGTAAGTAGAAATATCTTGTAGCTTACAAAGATTTTTTTTACTTGCAGTGTTTTACAAACTATATGGTTATTAAAACATAATTTTTAAGCATCAAATAAATCTACAGTTACTCACAGCCATAACAAGGCTTACAAAAGTTTGTTCACTTGCAGTGATTCACAAAACTTACAGTTATTAAAACATACAATTTAAGCATTATAACATCAGTCAAATAAATCTACAGTTACTCACAGCTTATCTTGCGTTGTGTTTGATCCAAACATTAGAGAAACCACGGACTAAAATAAACATTACCCAAGGGGCAAACGAAAAGACTGAAACATGGCGGTTGACAGAAGAATGCGGGCTCATGTGACTAGAAAAATGACATCACTGCACACGATAATATTCAGGTTGGATTCAGCAGGGTAACACATGGATTTTAAAAGTATAAACTTTCTGATATATTTAAGATATTTTATTTTATTGTTTATTTTCAGTTAACAGAATTAAGTAAGTTAATGGTGATGTGTGAATTGGGTAGTATCGTTACTCCACCTGATCACTATAATATCAATGATGTGTATCGCTACACCAGCCAATTTACACCTACAGTATTCCTACTCCCTAGTCCTTTACAAGAACATTCACATCTTGGTATATCAGGTAATTTACATAGAGATACAAACATTTCTTACTCATTCTAGAATAGGATTAGGTGGTGTGCCCTTTATATTATAAGGTCTGTCATTGAGTCATGTGACATGGTTTCAATTCCATGTTTGTACATGACAAGGAGTAAGGTCCAACCGTGTGAGTTTTCTTTGGGTCCTCTGATTTCCTCCCACTGCTAAAGACCCCTATACGCTAGCGAATTATTGAAATAGAATTGAACCATATATGCTAGTCCTGAAATGACCTACTTTGTGTCGAGTGGATGTTAAATGCCATTTCTCTCTCTCTTCAAACGTCTCGATCTGGACAGTCCTTACTTTATGTCATTCACTTGCAGTACTCACTAATTATAAGTAGTTAAGGTGTTTATTAAAATATGGTAGAGATTAGGCACAATACCTAACCTCAATTTGAAATATCGTAGAGATGAGGCACAATACCTAACCTCAATTTGAAATATCGTAGAGATGAGGTACAATATCTAACCTCAATTTGAAATATCGTAGAGATGAGGTACAATATCTAACCTAAGTTTAAAATATGGTAGAGATGAGGTACAATATCTAACCTCAATTTAATGTTATTTTTGAAAGAGATTATCCATGTAACAGGCTTAAAGGCCCTTGTGACATGGAATATGAAATTATCAGAGTATTATATTTTGGACAAAACATTAAACACAAGTTTGTATGTTAAATAAACATTAATGAAATAGTTTGTTTTAATATTCATTTTTTCAGGCCATCCTTATATTAGCCCAGTACATGAAGTGAAACGCTTAGCCAAGGCCATAGGTATGGAAGGCAAAGTAAGAATTATAAATTTTGGAGTTGAATCTCAATTGAGTGAAGTTCAGTCAGCCATGATTCATTCTATTGAGAATGGTTATTGGTTGATCTTACAGAATTATCATTTAGCTGACCAAATAGAAGAAGAGTTTCTTAATTTACTCAAGGTTTGTAGTTTCTGTGAAAAATAAACTTTATCATCCATTTTCATAGCCATGTTTGACTGATTTCTTTTTTTTTTCATATTGTTTATCGGAACACATTTACAAGGTAATCTTTATTAGTAAACACTGTATTTACAAGGTAATCTTTATTAGTAAACACTGTATTTACAAGTTAATCTTTATTAGTAAACACTGTATTTACAAGGTAATCTTTAGTAGTAAACACTGTATTTACAAGGTAATCTTTAGTAGTAAACTTAGTATTTACAAGGTAATCTTTATTAGTAAACACTGTATTTACAAGGTAATCTTTATTAGTAAACACTATATTTACAAGGTAATCTTTATTAATAAAAAATATTGTTACTACTAACACTGTTTAAACACTGTTTAAACATTATTTATTGTAGGATATTGTATACAGTAAATTCCTGGAAGAACAGAAGAAAGACAGGAGATGGGATGAGACTGAGGAAGGTCGAAGTTTAGTGACCAGATCTCATCATTCTAGTGAGAGGAATAAGTTAAAGATACACCCTATGTTCAGGTTATGGTTTACAAGTCGCATCGATGGTAGTCGAGTTCTACCAGGTAAGTTACATCCTAGGTTATGGTTTACAAGTCACATCGATGGTAGTCGAGTTCTGCCAGGTAAGATACACCCTAGGTTATGGTTTACAAGTCGAATCGATGGTAGTCGAGTTCTTCCAGGTAAGATAAACCCTAGGTTATGGTTTACAAGTCATATTGATCATAATCGAGTTCCACCAGGTAAGTTACACTCTACGTCATGGTTTACAAGTCATATTGATGGTAGTCGAGTTCTACCAGGTAAGATACACCCTAGGTCATGGTTTACAAGTCATATTGATGGTAGTTGAGTTCTACCAGGTACGTTACACCCTATGTTATGGTTTACAAGTCATATTGATGGTAGTCGAGTTCTACCAGGTAAGTTACACCCTATGTTATGGTGTACAAGTCATGTTGATGGTAGTCGAGTTCTACCAGGTACGATTCACCCTAGGTTGTGGTGTACAAGTCATGTTAATGGTAGTCGAGTTCTACCAGGTAAGATACACCCTAGGTGTACAAGTCATGTTGATGGTAGTCGAGTTCTACCAGGTAAGATAAAGATACACCCTATATTCAGGGTAGTGATATTAAAATGAACTCATCGACCCTTCTTGGATTTCTTTCGAGAGTCATTTTATAAACCATTCAAGATATCTTTATTAAACTTTGTACACATCAACATATTATAGTATAGTTAAGCTGTTTTGCTAATTAGAAATTTCTCAGATTTTTTTGGATAAAATAAAAGTGTGGGATATTGAATGAAATGGCGTTTAATGATAGGTCAGCATCAACCAAGCTGTATTCCTCACCAAAATGTGAGATTTTGATGAATGGTATTCAATTTGTAGAAATATAAACATTTATAATTCCTATTTTAGGTATTTTAATGCAGCATGGATTACGAGTAACATGTGAAATGACCATCAATTTTAAAACAACTTTACAGAAATCATTCCGATCTTCAGCTTTCTTGTTAAACAGTTCACGTGCTATATCAGCTGCTCAGGTAAAACAAAACAAAAATTTGGTCATAATTCAAAGTAAGCTAACCATTAATAGTAGGTTGTTTCTGTTATTGACTCGAGTGATGTGGTTTTCATCAGTATGTGATAAGGAGTCGGTTGGCCTGCTTTACCCGTCTTCATTAGCCCAGTCAGAGCAGAACAGTAGGACGTAAACCCCATTTCATTTCATTGCCCACTTTACCTCATGGGTTTTCTCAGCAAGTGAATTATCAAACCATTGATACACTATAGGTTATTCTCGAAATAACCTAGCTGGGTTAATGTTAAAATCCATTCCTCTCTCTTCTCTCTCTCTGCTGTTCTTTCTTGTCTAACTTTGAGACTCCTTTACTCAAGCAAATTATTAAAATATACCATATGTTAGTTCTGAAATAATGGAACCCGGTAAAAACACTGTCTGGTAAACTCGGGGACTGAACAGCACAGTGGACACTTACGGTTAGCCCCCAGATCCATTCACTTCATCTCTGAAGTATACGTTTGTTGTTTGTATATTGTGCCTTGTCTGTAGATTTGCTTGTGTGTGGTGCAGTCCCCCTGCACTTACTACCTCGTGGGTTTTCTCCGGGTCCTCCGGTTTCCTCCCACTGCTAAAGACCCCTACGTGGAAGCGAATTATTGAAATAAAATTAAACCATATGTTAGTCCCGAAATGACCTAGTTTGTGTCGAGTGGACATTAAACCCCATTTCTCTCTCTCTCTCTCCAGCACTTACTATTAAATAGCTATCCGACAAAAATTCTTATGTTTTTATTTCAGACTGACGAACGGTTCCGTAGAATTATGCCCCTTGCATTGTTCCATGCTCTGTTGGTCCATCAGAGTTACTATGGCGACCATGCTTTCAATAATTACCATAATTGGGATTTAGCTGACTTGTCTGCAGCAGCAGATATATTTAAACCTCTATATCTGAAGAACTGTGATCCAATCAAATCATCTAAAATGATCAGTCAGGTTTATTCAGATCATTGTACAACCATGAACGATCGAGACGTTGTTGAAGCCATTGGAACTGAGCTATTGAAAATATCTTTAGAGGGACCAGAATATTATCAGGTAGGTTGTTTAATTCAATAGATGTTGTATAGCAGGGGGTTGGATGGCTGAATGGTTAGTTTGTGTCCAGTGGAAGTTAAATCCCATTTCTCACTCTCTTTCTCTCCCTCTCCTCTCTTTTCCTCCCCCTGCTAAAAACCTCTACACGCAAGTGAATTATTGAATTAAAATTGAACCATATGTTAGTCCCGAAATGGCCTAGTTGTGTCAAATGCACTTAAACAAACTCTCTCTCTCTCTCTCAAATCCTAGTTTAGTCTGTGTACGACCATTCCCCAAAGACTGTTATCTTGGTTGCTTTGCAAAAAAGTCATATTCTTTCCAAAATATGCTCCAAATGCCCTCCACAAACTTGCATGCAATGCGCAAAATTGTCAATTACTCGAACACATTCCTCTTTGGGAGTTTCCCTGATGATTGCTGCCTTCAGTTCACCAATCGTTTGAGGGTTGTTCTGGTACTGTGAACTTGACAGTTGGAAATCGAAAAAAGAGTAAGCAGAAACTCGGCAGTGAAGGGCAAAATTGCATGGCATTTGTCTGTCTTCAACAAAGCCAGTATGGTGCAGAGTAGGATGTTTCCATATTTACAATTTTTCATGATGCTTTGCTGTAATTACATTGAAGGTGCATATCCAGTCAGTGATACTTATTGTTAATTTTGTCTTTCAGAGTGAAGAATTAAGTAATCCGGGAGTTGCCTCCCTTCTTCAGAAGTTATTGAAGACAAATGAAAGTTCTGTAACCAATAAAGATAAAACTAATTTACAACGATCTCTGGATTCCCTGGAGGATGTTTCAGCTCGGACATTCTGTCTCTCTGACGTGGCAGAACAATGTGTAATAGCCAGTAAAAGCAGGTAAGTGTTTATATACTTTCCATTTAAAGATATCACCAAGAGTCACAGCGACTCCGTGAGTAAGACGCTGTCTCACTCTGCAGGTGGTTCTGGGTTCAATCCGGCAGTACCTCAGGATTTTTCATCATGGCTTCCTCTTGTCTGTTGTGCAGTACGGACAGCCTGGCACGGAATAGTGTGTAGTCATTTAGATGGAACAAAAAATAAAAACCAAAGACCCTGAGCACACCGTTTCATGCACAAAAAAGAACCCTTGACAGTTGGAATTCACTAAAGGGTTGGCAGCAATTATTGACTCAAGAGTTCAATTGTGGGAGTTCACTTTAAGCTTGTATTTGGAAGGTACCATTCAATCAGATCCATAATAAAGTCTTGTCCTATTCCTTAAATTATGACATCAGAAGTCTCAAAATAATCGACTGATAAAAATTCTGAGGAACTCTCACAGATAACACTGGGAGTGGGAACAAACCCTGGACCTTCTTGTAAACTAGCACCATAATCACTGAGCCACAAACCACTCAAGTCGACTTCACACCTTAGTGATTTTTTTCTGAAAACAAGTGAATGATAATAATTATTTAACTAAATATTTTTCAGAATTTTATGTACTGATATGGTTCATGTGACCGGAGCACCTGAACTCTTCATGAAACAAAATACCCTTTTTTCGTCCCACCAAAATCTTGAGACATTAATTCCACAACTTTTCGACATTCTGCAAGATCTACCACGACTTCCTCTCACAAGTAAAGACGAGATTAATCCAATGGATATCTACTTCCACTATGAGGTTGTAGGTTACAAAACATTGATCAAGCAAATGACCGCTGAGTTGAACTTGATTTTGAGAGAGGTCAAAGGTGAAATCGTAGTATCGAAGGATCTATTTGATGTGAAAAATTCTCTGTCAAATGATGAAGTTCCCAAATCGTGGTTGAAAGATTTCTGTCCGTCTGGGCTGGGTTTGAGAGTTTTTGTGAAAGAAATGAACCTCAAGATGAAGATGTTGAAGACATATTTAGACAAACTACCACCAAGTGTGAATTTATCTGTATTCCTACGCCCAGATAGATTTATGGATGTTGTGCTTCAACATCATGCCAGGAAATATTTTAAACAAGTTACTGATTTAAAAGTTGACATACAGGTAAGTTGAAACTTTCGTAAACTTGACTGTTACAGGGGCATTATGGGAGATAAGATAATAAGTTGACAGTTGTTGCTATAATAGTTAAAAAATAGATAACATAAATAGAATATGCTGAAAGTTTCAGTCAAATTGCTTCACTCTGAACCGAGATATTAGCTTTTCAATTTTAGGCTAGCCTCGATCATCATTATTGAGGTCTTGATTATCCATTTTTACATTTAAATAACGCAGGCTAGCAATGGCATCGAGAGTTGATTATGGTCTGGATAAGTTAATTAATGTCTAATTAATAGTTTATATAACATTTCATTTCTAAAGAAAGACCTACAATAGGCAGATTTAGCTCTTGCCTAATGTATGATTAATAACTCCTACCCATCAATAAACTTTGACCTCTGACCTTTCATAACCCGTGGACCAGTGATGGGATTTCAAAATTTTTCTTGTCGGACATTTTACCGAAAATAAAGGGCCATAACTCTTATCATTATTTAAGCAGATGAATTTGTACCACAATTAAAAGTCACATGTCGTCACATGTCAAAATATTCAAATCCCGTACGTAATAAAAATAGGTGAACCTCGTTATTTTTCATATTTAATTCCCGTACAGTATTCAATTCATACCACAATTAAAAATCACATGTCAACAAATTGGTGACCTCGCTATTTTTCACACTTAATTCCCGTACGGCATTCAAATTTATGTCAGTAAATGTCCTACAAAATTAAGCATTTTCGTAATATGTAGAATGAAAGCTTGCCGATCCTGCTTCGGCATCAAATTCACAACAATAATATCTCTTAAGAATTACGTGTCTTCGTTTATACGGCAGCAAATGAATGCAGAACTTCCGAAATAGTTAAATGACTTGTAAACAGGCATAGCTAACTTCAGCGAATGACACTCTTTCATAGTCACGACAGAGTGACAGGCATCATAGGCAACACAGCAACACATGCTTCTTAATTCCTGTCTACAAATTAGTCTCTATCATCCAGAAAAATATTCTACGAATATTAGTCTGGACAGGTGCGGTATAGCATCAACGGACTTCAGCCTACGGCGTACTAGTCTCGGTCACCCAGAAACTCCTAGTCTTCAACATATTCGTAGAATATTTTTCTGGATAATAGAGACTAATAGCCTTCGTGACTCACATCACACGGCTTCATAGTAAGCACTGCCTAATAATATTATGTTAAGCAATATTCGTGCCACGCTTGAGATCAAGGGAAAGTGCCACTGTGGATGAGAATTTCTATATGGATTCTTAAAAGACGTAAAAGATATCATAGACAAAATGACTGTCCATTGATTTAGGGTGTTATATACTCTTACGATATGTGACATCTATGATTAGTTTATTATAGATGCTGTCGGCTCACATCAATGCGATTAAGATGCCCGACAACTGAGAAACCACACGGTAAAAAGGTGGATTAAAATTATAATCATTGATGAATAGTCGGACAAAAGGAAAGCAATGACTTCTGTTTAAGATTAGATTGATGAATTGTCCGACAAAGGATTAAGTCAGTCAATCAAGGCAGATTAAGTAGTTAATCAAGGTAGGTTTATAGACGATATAACACGATAAATACGTTGATCACTTAATTACCTAATAAACCCAGCGTATTATCGACGATAATCGGGTTGAGTGGTAGTTATACACTCGGTAAACTATTAATTTCGGAATTTTGAATAATATTCACCATGTCTTGATGTCCGATTGGGCATATTCCCGGTCGGACAATTTTGGGCGTTTGTTAAAAAGATTCGGACAATCCCATCACTGCCGTGGACGTACTGGTATACCCAACTTTTAACACTTGGCTTTCAATAACTCGCAAAATAAGAATTTTAGGACGTAAGTTGTGACCACCTAAAGCTCCCAATACTTTCTCTTATTTCTTGAATGATAACTCATCTCTATCCATGAACATCTAGACCAAGATTGTATCTAAAATTTGGGTGAAGAAATATTATTGTCTCACATATTTTTGTCTCCTAATGTTTGGGTGTATAATGTGTTTTGGCAGGGTATATGTAATACCACCTGTACTTGAGATAAAAATAACAAATGATTCTATAGATAACTGTTCTACGCAACAACAAATATCTCCATTTACATTGTTTTCTAATAACAACATATTTACTAGACTTGAGGAATAGTTCTTCATCTGATAAAGGAGTTGTCATTATTTACAAGTGGCACCATCATGGACAGACTTTACAAGGATTAAAGAGTTTTATTAAAGTTTAGAAACCATCACTGTACAAATTAAAGTTTACATGATTTAAAATTTCATAATTTGTATTTTACTGTTTTTTGTATGGGGGTGTGGCCTGTTTTTTTCCCACAATGCGTAGGGCCATATCTGGAACATTTTTGGTCGAGAAATGGCTAAGTAAAGTGATGAGGCATCAGTAATTTCTTTTTTCGAGGGATCATGTTGAGAAGTGGGGTGTCATTTTTAGCCGAGAAATGACGAAGTAAAGTGTTGAGAAGTGAGGTGTCATTTTTTGGTCTATATTTTAGGTCCATGTTTATTAAAGTTTACAAACATTATTAATGAACTTTGATTGAACAATAAAATGTATCTTGCATTCATGATCAATATCGATATTTTTTTTTGGAGAAGGCCAATCAAATACAAACAGCCATAGACACAGGGCCTTTAAAATGAGTTCAGTTTATTTATGAACAGTATTACATATAAGTGATTCTTCACATTGCAATGGTAAAATGTGAGTAGTGTAAAATAACAAACAAGTACATCTAGATGTAACCTCTAATATAGTTAGAGTTAGACTAGTTGACTACAGTTACTATATAAAAACATCTTCTACCGAGCTAAACAAATATTTACAGGACATTAGAGAGCAGTGCTAAGATTTTAATCATCAGTTATAAGAACACATATTTTAAAGTTCCAGACGCTGATAATTTTAATAAAAATATATTAATGGGAGATTAGATAAAGAGCTGGCAGTTCTCACTATAATAGTTAAAAACTAGATAATGTAAAGGCAATTTGCTGAAAATTTCAGTCAAATTCATCGACTCTGAATTGAGATATTAGCTTTTGAATTTTAGGCCTAGCCTTGATCATCATTACTAAAGTCGGTACGATAAAAGAAATAGTCTTGATTATCCATTTTTGAATTTGTTTTATAAGATGGCAATCTATTATCTTTGAATATTTCATATCTTGAGTTAAAGCTAATATTGTGTTCCACTGTAGTTACAGTCGATCAACCAATATTAAAAAACGAAACAATACATCACATCAACCTAATTCATTCTGTTAATAATTTAATACAAGTTTGAGGTATGCTTTAGGAATTTCTGTTAATAATTTAATTCAAGTTTGAGGTATTATTTGGGAAGTGTTACTTTAATCTTGGTAAGATATAAACAAATAGAGAATGTAAGACAGTTAAATATGATCCAGTTTACTCGTAGTTTAAGGTAGAGTTTTGGCATCAAAGATAGTTTTAACATCTTTAAAAACATTCTTTAAACTTTCTAACTTTCTTTATGATTGAAACTCAAGATGGCTTCCTCTAGTTTTACTTTTAACAACTGTACAAATATGTAGATTTACAGGTAACATCAACTAAAAGAGGCTAGGTTTTTTTGGGGTTTTTTTTAAAGCAAAAAATAAATAGGAATTAAGTGGATGTGAATTTTAGTGATGTGCATTTTAATGATATGCAGTCTGTTAACCTTGTTCTTCACATTGGGTTAGATAGATGAAAAACCAGTGAAAATGAAGCTCTAATTAATGATGTCAAATGTAAACACCTACCCAAGCCCTAGCTAGCCCTTCTAGATGTAAGAAATGGATTTAAAGCCCTAGCTAGCCCTTCTTGGTGATAGAAATGAATTTATAGCCCTAGCTAGCATTTTGTATGTAAGAAATGGATTAAAAGTTTTGGCTAGCCCTATTTAAGCATTTTACTTTTCTGCATCAATTGGGCTTATAAAGACTGACAGCCCTTCTGAAAGATCTTTACAAGTTTTTCCAGAAGACAACAACATTAAGGCCATTGATTACAGCTTGATAACAACCTATCCAAATTTCAAAGACTAGTAACTAGTCATAAGTAATCCAGGCTATTTGATTTGTGGGGGGTACAGTCTTGGCTGCCAGGATTTTTTGATTTTTACCCGAGTATCAGTAGTCACCTTTTTTAACCAAATAAACCAAACTTTCTGTGTTTTTTCGAAAGATATGAATAGTGATAGTATTAGCGAGATTTTTGGTACTATAGAGTGGAATATTAGTCCTAGATATTAGCTATATAGCATGATTTTTGGTACGACAGAGTGGAATATTAGTCCTAAATATTATTGTTTCAATTTGAATTCACTGGAATAGATAGAACAATGATTGCTTGAATTTCTGTGGATCTTATTTTCTGACGTTGTGTCCCTTTAATATATACAGGTATTTGTATATATGATGTCATATGTTATATCTATCTTTATCTACATCAGTGTATATATGACTAACACCTCTATCTATGTACATCTACATACATCAGGTGTGATTAACCACACAAATCTTCATTCTATACATGGCACCAACTGTGTACCTAAACTCACTCAATTCAAATATACATCTTTATTATTGATTTAAAGGAACTGGCTTGTCCGTGACGAGGAGTAGGTTGTTTTCTACAGATCCTCTAATGGTAAAGACTCCCGTACACACACGGATATCCTGGACAATATGAAGTCACTCGAAACTTTTGTTCCTTAGACCACCTAAAATCACCTGAGAGATGTGAATATTTATTCATGTGAGCTGGGTGGTTTTGGCTTGTCTATGGTCTAAGGAACTCTAGTAACAGAAGGTTTCCCTTGATATGAGCGCTAAAGAGTTAAAGTGTCTTTCCACGCTATTCTTTGGAAGCTTAAATCTAGAATGGGTCTTAATAAAGCCAATATTCTTGTAATATGAGTGTATATAAAGTAATTATATTA